TTGGCTGCTACTACCAGAAACTTGAACTATATCATATGCCTAACAACACTGTGCTTTTCATTAGTTGGCAGTGATGAAGAAAGGAAGTGCCATTTCCCTGGAACTAAACCTGCCAAAAAAGATAACAGATGGCTTTCAAGGGATCACCTTGTGCCACATCACGATCGCACCGTAGTCAAACTCACCTTGCATTTATGGTTAAATTAGTTACACACCCATAGATATGGCTGATTTATGACCGGCTTGCTGTTCAATGGCCCCACCAAGGTGTTGCTTCCTCTGAGTTTAATTTTTAAGTAATGTGACAAAAGACACACGATAGGAATTAACACAATATTAACATACTGAATATTTTCCTTAGCATTTCCAGACCTTCTGGACCCCTCAATACTGCACGCTACACTGAAGGTCTTATCAGCTATGCCTTTGGGGTTTGTCATTAAAGTTTTCAATGACCAGAGAGGTAGAAGAATGCTACCTAATGCATCATTCTGATTAGAAATCTGTCATACACAGAAACCAGAGGATCTGGTTCTGTTGATTCTTATTCGAATCTTCAGATTCATTAGCAGTTTTTTTTTTTTTCTCTTCAATTAGACCTGCTGATCAACCATAAAAAAAAGCTGAAAGGAGCCCTCCCTTTACTCAGCCACACCTGAAAACAAAATGTATGCCTGGAAAGTGAAATTACAGAGAGTATTATAAGAAAATGTTCAAGAGGCCACATAGGAAAATCACACGCACACACACACACGCACACACACACACTTGTAAACCGGCAAATGGGCAGAGGTTGGGCTCGACCTCCCTTCCTCTAACTCGCTTCAATCAGGACCAGAAAGGCAGAATCCCTTCATTACTTCTATCTCAAACCATGCCCCAAGCTTGTGTCTCCACGGAGCTAATTTCTGAAACAAACAAAGAAAATCAAGTCTGCGAGGAGCGAGGGTTTTCTCTCTCAGCCTGGGGTTTGGGCAACCAGCCTGGCGGGCGCCGCGCCGCTGGCGAGCCGGGGCGCCCAGAGTCACCCAAACCTCCCGCGCCCCGCTAGCCCAGATTCCAGCTGCGCCAGAAAGTGCGAGCCTGCCCTGCTCGTCTCGCTTCTCGCCTGCTGCTCCCCAAGTCCCCAGAAGGCTCCCGTTCGCACACTAAAGGCGCCACCGCTCTCCCACCTCTGCGCTGTCAGATGTCAGGCGCAGAGGTGCTGTGGGCGCCCGCGGTGCCGGCAAACCAAACAAGTGCCACACCGGACGCCTGCCCTCACTCCGAGAGACGGGGCAGGACGGCCACAGGTAGGCTCTACCCCTCCCAGGGCGGGGGGCGAGAGACCCAGCGCGGCAGCCGCGTCCGACGGGCTGAAACTCACCCGAGGACACCGAGGAGCCGGACAGGCTGGAGTTGCTGGACGCTGCCATCTCCGCGCGCCCCGCGCGTCGCTGCTGGCTCAGCCCCGGTGCGGACGCCGCCGCCGCTGCCCTCGCCCGGCCGCTCGCAGCCTTCGCGGCCCCCAGCCCATGGCAAAGTCCTGGGGACGCGCAGAAAGCACCAGCCTCCGGACTCTGCCTGCACTTCCTGCTCCACCAGATGACGCGCTGCTGCCGCCGCTATTTATTTGTGGTTTCCGTCCCTCTCGGCGCCTTTGCACGCTCTTCTCTGGGTGTCGGTGGGTAGATAGGAGCGGAGGGAGATCCGAGGGGCGGCCCGAGCGGACTAATCGCGCCTCCAGCGGAGCCCCAGCCGCGGTCCGCGCACGCTCGCGCGCGGCTGGGACCACCGCGCCCCGGCGGCCGGGGGGCGCCCTGCCAGCTCCTGCGCCCTCCCCTGGGCTCCCGCCTCCCCGGCGGCCCTTCGAGCAGCCCGGGCAAAAGCGGCAGGAGCCAGACAGACAGAGCGACCTCCCCCTTCTCCCTCCGCCCCAACTCCGCTCGCGCGCACACAAAGGAAGGAGAGGAGACGCGGGAGCTCCGGGGCTGGTTCAGCTGCCGCGGGCTTGACAGCTCTTGCGACTGGGGCTGGAGGAGGAGGCTGAGGACTGCAGGGCGGGGGGCAGGGGGGGCGCTGGACCGGGGCGCGGGACCCCAAGGTGCTGGGGAGGCCACCGGGGGGCGCGGGGCGAGCGCGACTGCGATGCGCCACGCTGGCTCCACGGCTTGGAGGCAACCGGGAGTGGGGAGAAGGTGGTGGGGCTCGCTGTCCGTGGCCAGGCTAGGGAGCGGCGAAGCCAGCCGGGGCGGGGGATACGGAGGGCGAGGGCGAGGTCACTAAGGACACGGATGCTAGGTAAAAAGGGGCCTGGGATGCCAAAGCGGCTGTGGAGCGCTCCTTCCACCCCGCTCCAAATTGTCCTTTGTTACTCCGGAGCTGATGATGGTCCCTGCCCTGCAAGAAGGTGTGTTTCCTAGAACACCCTCAAAACACCTAGGAAGCCCAAGCCAGGTGCACTTAAGTACCCCAGCCACGGACAGTGACTAACGGGTCCGTTGGGCTTTTGAGGTTGCCCTTCAAAGAGATAGAGAGGTTCCAAATATGTCATCAGGCCCACACAAAGCCGGGTGTCAAGAGAGAGAGGTTCTCTGACTTCGTCTGGTAAAGGATCCTCACAAAAGACTTGGAAGCAGGTCTGCCTGTGCCCTTTCAGGATAAAGAATTGCTTAGGTGTGGGAGAGAAAGAGATGTGAGCCCAAGGTGTGTACCTTCCCCCTGTATTTAAGCCTAAATTAATTTCACCAGGGGGAAATATCATACAGATTTTTTTTTTTAAGTCTGTTTCACGCTCCCAGCGGGGTAATCGGTTCTTTCAATCCTGAAGCAACAGAAAACTGTGAAATTTGAGCAGAAATTGTTAGATCAAAGGAAAAAGCAAACACTAAAGGAATGAAAAGTACTCTCATTATGTAGCAAAGTGGAAAGTGTTCGCATTGGGGTAGTTCAATTTTTAAAAACATGGTTAAAAGGACATAGTCAATTTAAAAATTATCAGGAGTGACACAGGAACAGCAGACAGTCCTAGGGGGTCCACATCAACCGCGCACCCCATGTACGGTGAATGATAAATGTTGAATAATCATAATATGCACTCATGTCACATTTTCTAGTTGATTTAAACTTTTTTTTTTTTTCATTCCCTTCAGGATGCCATCCCAGGATGTCTTCCCAATAAGGCTTCTTTTTTTTAATGCCGTTTTCTGAGCCCTCCTCAGCCACATGGAGTCTTCCTGACCCTCATCTGCATGGAATTTAGAACATCCCTGCCTGTTCTAAGGAGACCCAAGCAGCCTAACCGAGAGTCCTTCAGGGGCATATGGTCCATCACAACCTTAACCTCTCCATCAGAACCGACTTCCTGTTTTCCCAAGGTTCTTCTGATCAAAGGCACCTCTAGTTGTTTAACTAGTAATCAATGGATCCCTCCAGATCTTTAGATGGCGGGTGGACTGACCTGGCTGTGTCACCTAGTAGGGTTGACACTCTGTCAGTCTGAAGAAGGAAGACAGCACATGATTTCATACTATGGCTCCACCATTTATTAGTTATGTGACCTGGAGTAAATTACCTGCACTCACTGAGTCTCAGTTCCTCCACCGGCAGCCCGAATCCTGATAATATAGGGTGTTCTGAGGATTCAATGACATGATAGGTGTAAAGCCACAGTGTACCTGGCATACAGTTTGCGCCCTGTAAGTGACTTTAAATTGTGCATTTGAAAGGTCAGATCTATGATCTGAACAACTTCGGCTTTCTCCATTGCATCTGGAGATAACTGATCAGCCGTGACGTGCTCTGTCAGGGAAATGTCTAATAGTTAGCCCAAGGTTTGTGTCTTGCTTGTCCCAAATTGAGCAATACACAACAGGTGTCATCATTCATCTCTGAAGTCTCACAAAAGGATGTTAAGTTCTATTTCGGTAGTTGGATGATAACATTTACCTTCACAGAACTTTGCAGTCCTTAGTTAGGGAAAGTAAAGCATGGCCCTGTGAAATAGATTACTTCTATTATCTCAAATGGACAGATGAAAGGGGGAAAAGGGAACTTGCTGGGAAGGCACCAGGCCAAGGCCACCCTGTGCTGTACACAAGCAGAATAAAACAGAGATTAACTTTTTTCCACGGGGTTCAGAGGCCAGAAGAAGGATGCAAGGCCCACAAACGTGTTTACTGAATAAAAACAGGATGACTGGGGAAACCTAGCTTGTTGGTCTGAGACAGACCATGACTCCAAGGCCTATTATTTTGAAGAACAAATGGAGGGGCGCCTGGGTGGCGCAGTCGGT